AAGGGGGGGGGGGTGGGGAGACTGGTGTTCCCACTGTCACTTGCTGGCTGGATAACCCAGGCAAGTTCCTTCACCTCTCTCAGCCTCAGTTTCCTCATTCATAAAGTGGGGTTAACAATCCTGTCCCTCAGAGTTGTGGTGAAATGTACCAGGATGAGTGTGAAGTAGCCAGCCCCGTGCCTGGCATATAGTAGCAGCTCAATAAATGTAGTTTGATTTTCCTTCTTACCTTACCACCCTCTACTTTTCCTGCCCCTTGCTTTCAGATTTTCTTTGATTCTCTTTTCTTCTCTCCTCTGAACATCCTTACCTGTTTTCAGCCATAAGTGACAGTTTCCTCGACACACACACCTACCTTCACGTGGTAGGTGTGTCTTACTCCCCTATGCCAGAAGTCAGGGCTGCATAACCTGCTCTTCCTCTGTCCTGTCCCTGTTTCTCCGAGGACTCTGGCCCCTGACCCTAATCCTCCCCGGCCAGTCCCCTCCCCTTCTACAACCTTCCTCCCTCTGATGACCCTCCTCTCCTCCACCCTGTCCCTCCAGGAGCGTAATGCAGAGAATGCCATTGAGGCTCTGAAGGAATATGAACCCGAGATGGGGAAAGTCTACCGGGCTGACCGCAAGACAGTACAGAGGATCAAGGCTCGGGACATTGTCCCTGGGGACATTGTGGAGGTGGCTGGTGAGTGATGGGAGTGAGTGGTCCAGGAAGGGAGGCCTTGAGTTCAAGACAGGGAGGATGTGTATGTTGAGGGTGGGGGCCGCTGATTCTGGTGTCTGGGAGGTAGCCAGGATGGTGGAACTTTTGCCTCTCCTTCCCAGACTCCTCAGGAGGTCACCCCAGGGCACTGTGGCCACAGCACCCCTCCCCGTCAGAGTCTCAGCAGGAACAGCCAGTCCTGTCCCTGACGCTCCAGGCGGACCCCTTGCTCCCCCTCCTCTCACCCAGCACTTGCAAGCAACAGGTGGAACCTAGTCCCTGCCAATGGCCCCGTCTCCACCCCCCTCCCGAAGCCTGGCTTCCCGCTCCTTCCACCCACCCCCAAGCTTGGTCAGCTTTAAATCTTGACCTCTCAGTGCCCTTGAGGCCTCTTGAAGGGGAAGGAGTGAGGGTAGAAGGGAGAAGGGGGGCCGGAGGCTCAAGCCCCCAACCATGTAAGGGAAACTCAGGGCCCAGCAGGGAGCACGAGACCTGGGAGGAGGGAGCTCAAGGAGGGGCCCCGCCTCTCCGGTGAGGGACACTTAATGCCTGACCAGGGAGGGGTGGGGGCCGGGTGGCTAAGATTACTGGGATTCTGCCCCCTTCAGCGGTTTTTATATTGGCCCCGCACAGGCCTTCCCACATCTCTAGGGCCCTGGCATAGGGGGATGGATCTAGGCCTCCTTCCTTCCACAAGACTCCCAAGTTGCCACCATGGGCAACCTGGGGAGAGGGAGGGAGGGCGGGCTGAAGACCCCGCTGCGCCATTACAGGGCCGCCCTGCCACGGTGACAGTTTGGAGTCAGTGCCATGAACGTCTATAAATATCGCTGGGGCTTGGGTGACAGGGTGTCCCGCCCAACTCCGTGGCCACCTCCTCCCTCCTCCGTCAGCTTCCTCCGGCATAGGAGGAGGGACCCTAGAAACAGGGAAAGGGAAACGGCCCCGCGAACCCTGTCCCCAGTACCATCTGTGGGACCAGGCGGGATTAGCAGAGCCTCTGGGGGGGTGATTAGCCTCCCCAGAGGCCCTGAAGTCCAGGGGGGCGTTACCCGCCTTGTCAGCCCACCCACGAGGTGGTTTCCCTGTACTGACCCACCCCCGTGGATCTCCCGTGGCCTGCCCCACGCTTGCTCGGCTTTCCCCAGCCCACCCCCTATTCCTTGTTTCCTGCAGACCTCCCCTGCTCTCCCATCATCTCCCCAGCTCACTCACCGAGGCTTCCTGCCTTCCCTCAGGTGCTCAGACCAGGGCCTGGCGGGTTTCTAACGTGCGTGCGGCCTCCGCCAGGCCCTGCTGGACCTGCGCCCTCTGCCCCTGCGGCTCCTCCCTCTCCTCCTGCTTCTCCCCTTCTCCCCCTTCCCCCTTGCTCCAGCTTTTGTCCTGCTTGACACTGATTTTCTCAATTTCCATGTTTTCTCCCGTTTCTTGTTGTTCCCCTGCCCCATGATTCCATGGCATTCTCTCCCCCGGATGCGCGTCCCTCAAATTTACCGTTTTCTTCAGTTCTTTTCTTGCCCTTCTCTCCTCACTTTTCTCCCTCTTGTTTCCCTCTCTGTTTTGCTGTCCCGTTACACAACTGGACCATTCCTAATTTTCCTTTTGGCTACTCGGTGCACGTTATCCAGCACGTGCTATGTGCCAGGCAGTGCCCAGGGCCCACTCACGGGCTCACAGCCCCAGGGGGAGAAAAGCGACAAGGGGGCAATTGGAATGAATGTTGGGGGGGGGGGTGCTTGCTAGGGCTTCAGCAACCCACACCAAGGGCCTGACACAAGCCCAGGGTGGGCACCCAGCCCTGGCGACCCGAAGGACGAGGTAAGGTAATCAGACGAAGATTGGGCTTTTCTTGGGAAGGAAGAAAACTCCTTCCTCAACTGACTTCACTCTTGTCTGCTCTTCCCACAGTGGGCGACAAAGTGCCTGCAGATATCCGGATCCTGTCCATCAAATCCACCACCCTCCGGGTTGACCAGTCCATCCTGACGGGTCCGGGGGCCTGGGTGGGAGGATGCTTCATGCAG